CGTGCGCGCGGCGGGGAGGGGACGTTGGGGGGCCGGGCGGGCAGGTCCCCGGGAGACCAGCCCAGGTTGCGGGGCACTCGGGCCGTCTCCCCGTGGGTGGCTCAGAGACCGGCTGGATTTTGATAGAAAACGCTCTGCGGGGCAAGACGGTTTTCCGATTCTGGCAGCCCCGACACGCCGTGTGACCGTGCCTCAGTTTCTTCATCTGTAAAATGGGAGCAGTAACTCCTAAGGTTGTTGACGTGGTTCCACAGGTTAAGGGGATGCCCTCTGAGCTGTCGTTCTCGTGATTTCGCTGCCTGTCCCTTCCGTACCTTCCTCTGCCCTCCCCCAACTCCCATGGGGCATACTGGGTAGAAGGTGGTGGTCTGCAGAAAGTGAGAAAAACAAGTGGTAGAGCTGTGTGCACTGGCGTGAATCCATCGTTATATTACAATTATATAGCATAGAGAACAAAATTGGGATATATATTGTATAATATGTAAATAAAATAAGGCTATTCCGTATGTAAAATCCGGAAAGCTCTACAGCGCAATGCTGGTTTACTGGTTGTCTTGCTCTGGGATATGGAAACTTCTTTCTTCTTGCCAAGTTACATTCTCTAATCATTTGATAGTGAGCATGGGTTATCTGCAGCTTAAGGATCAGGCCTCTCCAAGGCGAGGGAAGGAGACCCTCTCAGCAAAGGTCCAGAGTGTTCTGGTTACAACCAGGAAACATCCAGTTGTGATCTAAATGTCCATGACATTTGGCGTGGCTTCTGTTAATAGGAGATAACTCCAAAGAACTGCTCACACCTGTACGGCAAACACCCATGGGTGCCAGAGACCAGAAACGAGCAGACTGGCCCCACTGGGAACCGGTTAAGTAAATGAGCTCAGTCACACACCAGGGTGCTCTGTAGCCCTTTAAAAGGAATGAGGTCTGTTTGTGAAGAAGATGAGGAGCAGTCTCCTGGAAACAGCCCCTAGTGCCAAGGCACAAAACTGCAGATAGAAGGGGAGAAGGCTTGTAAATTTATACATAGCTCTGGCTGTATTACAAAGATAGCTCACTTAACCCTCGCAACAGCCTCTCGATGTATGCGTTATCATCGCCATCTCACAGAGGAGGTAACTACGGTGCAGGGAGGGCAGTGTTGGAGTATTTTCTGGTAGGGCACATAAAACCAACGCCAGTGACTGGCTCCCCAGATACATGGTTATGGACAGAGGGCACTTGTTTTCACTCTTTAACCTTTTGTAGTCCTAGAATTTCTAACATGGGTTCGTATCACTTTTTCAAAAGTCTCAAATGTTATAAGTAAACTGACAAAAACAATAATCAAAGCTTTTTATAGCAGTGCCCTTGAACTGCTCCCTTCTCCGGAGATCTGAAACTCTGCTGGGAGGGGGACCTAGTGGCTTGGGGAGGAAGCGTGGGCCAGCAGAGGTCTTCAGAATTCCTCCTGGGCCTCTCCAGGGCTGTTCCCACTAGGCGTCCACCTGGAGTGAGAGCGACTGCAGGGTCCTGCTTCCCCAGGGGACTTGGCCTTCTCTGAAAACCAGGGTCAACACTGGGGCATCATGTGCTCTGGAAACTTGCCTAATAAGATGGTCAGGCCCTTATGGCACCTTCAGGCAAATTTGAAAAGGATGCCTAATCTTCAGGATCCTCATCTGCTAGAAAATTATCATAATAAAATCCAAATTGTCCATCTTTGGATTCAAACAAAGTTGTAATAAAATACAAAAACATTTCAGAATAATAAAGATGTCTGCAGTGTGAGGTCCGAGATATCTAGTTATGACAAAAAGTGCAGTGCACAACCTGAACAGCTGTACGTAGTACTTGCCATTCCCTGTGACAAGAGGGAGACCCAGCCTCCCATCTGGGAGGTCATCTCTACAGTCCAGGAGGCCCCTGGAAGGCCTAGGTGTTTGGTGAAAGATCCTGGTGACCCGTACTTACGGCCTGCGGCTCTGGTCCCCTCTGGTAGGTAGAAGGGCACAGGTCTAGGACTGGGCAGGCTGTGAGAGAAGGTCAGGAGAGGGTCCCGGTGCCTGTGACCAGAGGTCGCTGTAAGAAAGAACAAGACAGAGGAGATCAGACCCCTGGGACCTGCATGCCATTTCCTCTGTGGCTCCAAGCTAACCCCTGTCTTGTGTGGTCTGCCATGATCCTAGGGCAACTCCCAACAGGCATTTTTGTTTGGTTCATTCAGCCAGCTTGATCTCTCCACGCATCCAGACCATCTGCTTCTCTCCAGTCTAACTCAAAGCACACCTCCTCCACCCTAACCCTAACCCTAACCCTAACCCTTCCCTGAGTTACTCACGGAGCCCTCAGGCCTGCGTCCTCCACCACCACTGAGGGACGCAGTTTGCCACGTGCTGGGTTGGCAGAGGCGAAGTGAACTGAGCAAGACCCTGCGGTCATGAGATTTGTGTGTGACCAAGAGCGTGTGTGGGAGCCTGTGAGCATGCGTGAGTGTTAGTCTGTGGGTGTGTGCACGTGTGAGTCAGGGTGTGAGGGTGCACAGTGTGCGTGTGCAGGAGTGTGTCAGTGTGAGTGAGCCCCAGTCTGTGGGAGTGAGTGTGACCATCTGTAAGCGTGCAAACGAGTGAGGGTGTTTGAGTGTGCGTGTGTGTGCACATGGGGGAGTCTGCTATGTGCGTGTGTGCGCATGCGTGTGGGCGTGTCAGGATGTGCTGTGCGTGTGCCGTGCATGCCTGCTTTGTCCCCCAGAGCATCGGGGGCGCTTGGCCACTCTCCCACAATGCACATGGGCTTCTGTCCATAGTAATCACCCAACCTTGGCCGCTGATTTCATAGAAAGAAGGAGCAAGTTCAGCCAGGCGTCCAGGCTGGATCCTCCCTGAAGATTCAGGTTGGAAGCTGGGTCAGCCTGGGCCCACATCCTCACTAGCCTGATGGGCACTCAGGGAGGCTCATTTAGTCTCAAGCTGTGTTCCGTGGGTAAAATGGGTGGGACGATACCGTCCCTTCTTCCCGGGTTTCTGGACGAAATTCATTGAGATGATGAACTTGCAGCGCAGCCACGGTGCCCGGAACACAGCACCCATCGAAAGCGTTCGCCGTGGCTGGGGCTGGGCGAGTGGTGAGGCCCAAACATGAACGCCGGGCTGCCGCCATCATCCTCAGCCACGAGGAATGCTGCGAGCGGTGGTTCTTCAGGCCCTCTGTGTCATCGCTGTGCAGATTGGCTTTATTGCAAGACTGCCCAGCAAGGAGACAGGAGATGGGCTCAAAATCTGTTCCCTGACTTGGGGTCTGAGGCAAGTTTATGGGCTTGGAGGGCAAGAGAAAGGATTTAGGATTGTTGGCTTGGCAGGGTCTGATTGGAGGACTCCAAATTTGGCTATTCACGGTGAGGTATGCTGAGGCAGGTTTTGGTCCCAGATCTTCTGGGCCAATGGAGACCTCACTTCTGAAAGAGTTCCCCTGTTCAGGTTCTGGTCATGTCCCAGTCTTCTTGGTTCTGAGGGGAGGAATTGTTGGTTCTGAGTGTGGTTAGAGGTCAAAGCTTTTTCTGTTGCGCATGCCGGGCTACGTGACTTGAAGTTTTGGCTCTGTTATACCTACAAGTTAATTCTACATTTTGTTATTAACAGAGTAGATCTAGGTTGGGTTGGTCCTGTGGTTATAGCTGATTTTCTCCCCAAACCTGTCTTCTTCTCACCTGTTTTTCTTTCTTTCTTGTTGATAGTTTCATCATAGGTTTGTCAATGGAGAGGGGACTCTTCTGCTGTCCCATCTGTAGTGGATGGTTCCCAGCCCCTTGGCCCACACTGGAGACCATGGCAGCTTCTTGCCTCCAGGGTATAGAGGGTCCCTGGGGGCCTGAGCCCCAGCATGTGACCAGCTGTCCCCTCCCTAATTCCGCACCAGCACTCCCTGGGCTCCCTCCCACAAATTCTTGTCCCAGTGACTGCTTTCGGGGAAACTGAATGAAGACATCTGTGCCCAGTTTAGATCTCTGAAAACATCCCACATTAGTACTTTTCTGGGAGACACACTGTTAATCAGGCGGCACTTCCCCTGGGGATTTGGGACAACATTGTGGCCATATTTTGTCTTCTTCTTGGTCATTTTGAGACAAAGATCAGGGCCAGGAGCACCATCTCAGTAGAAAGCCCTAAGCTGAGAAGCTGTCAAACCAGGGACGGTGGCTGGGTGTGATGGCACACGCCTGTAACCCCAGCACTTTGGGAGGTTGAGGCAGGAGGATCACTTGAGGCCAGGAGTTGGAGGCTGCAGTGAGCTACAATCACACCACTGCACTCCAGCCTGGGTGACAGGGTGAGACCCTGTCCAAAAAACCAAAAACCAAAAAACCCAGGGTTGGTGACTGCGTAAGGAGTGTGCTCCTCGTCTCCTTACTCATCCAGGGCAGATGGTTCTCAGGGGTCTCAGCTGCGAGGCTGAGCCTGTCAGCCGGGAAGCTCCCCACTGCCTCAGAGCTCTCACCCACCCTGCTGTTTTCAAAAGGTCCTAGTTCATCCTGTTCTGGCTGCTAGAATCAAGTGGCTGAAGGTTTTGTCTGTTTGCTCCCCTGAGAGATCCCAAAATATACCCCTTG